GGGCGCACCCCCCCCCCCCGCCCCAGCCTGGTACAAGACGCCTCGGACGCCTGGGTTCGGCCCCTTGGTAGCCCCGCCTCCCCAAGAATGAAGTCATTGCCAAGCCCTAGCCCCACCCTATCCGTCCTAGCCCCGCCCCCATGGAACCTAGTCCCTCCCACCAGGGTTTAATTCCGCCTTCAGCTGATGGAGACCCGGTGCCCCGCACTCCCGACCCGCAGCCCCTGCCCTCAGGACACACAGGCTCGCTCCGTGCATTGAGTTCATTGCTCTGGGCACCGTCAGTACAAAAATATGGTGTCACAATAAATAGGTGGAGGGGTCGACCCTGCCTCCTGCCCTGGAGGGGATCTAGGTAACAAGGGGCAGGAGGGGGAGGGGGCTCTGCAGCAGCGTGTTGGGGTCTAGAGCACCCAGCAGATCTAGCTCCCAAAGTGGGGAGGGGTCCGGGGCTGGAAGGGGGCCCTGGAGCATGGGGAGTGGGGTGGTTTCTAGAGCACCTGGGTTCTAGGTCCCGGGGGAGGGGTCCTCGGGAACAGGAGGGGGACGTGGAATGAGGAGTTCTGGAGCAGTGCAGAAAGCAGCCGCGGGTCCCAGCTTGGACGGGGGTCCTGGGGTCGGGTGGGTCAAGAACATGTAGGGGGCAGGGGGCAGAGGAGGAGCCTTGGCTCGGGGATCTAGAGCGGCACTCCCATGCTCCCGGGATCTAGAGCCGCGAAGACCACAGCAGCAGAGCCAGAGTCCTAGGCCTGCCCGTGGACAGCTCTAGACCAAGCGGGGGAGGGGGGGTGTCCTGAGGAGGGGGCTGGGGAAGGTTCTAGACTAGCCCAGCCAGGAGGTGGGACTTGGAGCCAGACCCACCACAGGACAGGGCCTGGAGAGGATTTGGCTCGAGATGAGCTGGGAGCTGGACCCAGCCCCCGGAATCAGGTGCTGGGTTCTAGAGCAGCGGGGCCGGGCCTGGCCCTTTAAGACACTGCGTTCTAGGGGCCTGGGAACCGCCCAGCAGGTTCCACGTCAGAGGGCGGGGCCAAGTGCGGAGTGGGCGGGGCTAGCTCCCAAGGGGACCTGCCCCAGGCCCAGAGGAGAGCGATCTCAGAGCGGAGTGGCCCCAGGGCCGGAGTGGGCGGAGATACCCCCCCCCCGCCACTGGGCGGGGCCAGACCCGAGGGGTGTGGCTTCAGATGCAGTATGGGCGGGGCCAGTCCCGCACGGTGCGTGGCCTCAAAGGGCCAGGAGGGTGGGGGAGTTGAGGGAGCTCGAAGATTGGCCGCTGCTGCTGCTGCTCCCGCGGCGGGGGGGCGGGGTA